AGTAAATAATCTAGTTTATTGTAGTTTTGAAAGAACAACCGTAAGAGATCTTACTGTACAAAAATATGGAAAACATCCTGTATTAGAGTTCTCCAGAGAAAAAGAACCAACAGGAGGGGTGAGCGTGTGTGTGTGTGTGTGTGTGTGTAAAGTGATAGAGAGTTTATTTGAAGGAATTGGCTCATAAGATTGTGGAGGCTTAGCAAATCCAAAATCTGCAGTGCAGGCTGCAGGGAAGAGTTGCAATTTGAATCCAAAGGCAGTCTGCTGGCAGAATTTCTTCTTGCCAGAAGAGGTTAGTCTTTGTTCTATTAAGGCCTTTAACTGATTGACGAGGACCACCCACATTTTGGAGAGCAATTTGCTTTACTCAAAATTAACCAATTTAAACATCAATCTCATTCAAAAAACATTTTTATAGTAATGTCTAGAATAGTGTTGTACCAAATATGTGTGAATGTGGCCTCACCAAGTTGACATGTAAAATTAGCCATCACTTTCTCTTAACTTCATCAACAAAATGACAATAGTAGATAGTATTTTACAGCCCTTTTATGTTGATAAAATTCTGTACATTTATAATTCTAATTCTTATTCCTGTAGTATTTTGTGTTTAACAGCAACAACAGCAACAGAAATATCATTCTCCCTTTGCTGTATTGAAATGTCAAGAGCTTTGCTGTATGGTTATAGCAAATCAAGTTCCCTGCGATTGTCTCATCTGTTTGAACCAAATTAGAAACCACATATTTGATGTTTCTGACATCTCCTTAAAACCCTAAGAGACCTTTGACTGCAAGCACAAGGCCTCAATGTTTCTCTCCCTAGACGGAAGACTTATGCGATAAGGGAAAGGGTTGCCAAACAGCCACCAAACAGCCCAGAAAGCCATGTTGGATGGACCTAAAACAGCCTGAAAATTTCCTAGGAAAGCAAAGGGATTAAGAATCATTAACATAAACCTCTATAATGTTCTTATGGCTTTTTTTAAAAAAAATTTATCAATATGCAATGTAGTTGATTTTCATGTGCCTTTACCAATTCCTCCTTTTCCACTCTTCCTTTCCCCCCTCCCCCTCCATCAACATCATATCTGTTCACTTGTTGTAACAAGTTCAAGGAATTGTTGTGATTTTTGTGTCTTCTTCCTCCCCAACTGTTCATTTGTTTGTATATTCATTTATTTATTTATTTTTATTAGCTCCCATATATAAGTGAGAACACGTAGTATTTCTCTTTCTGTGCCTTGCTTATTTCACTTAATATAATTTTCTCTAAGTCCATCCATGTTGCTGTGAATCATAGTATTTCTTTTTTTTTTATATAGCAGAGTAGTATTCCATTGTGTAGATATACCACATTTTCCTTATCCACTTATCCAATGATTGTTATTTAGGCTGGTTCTAACTCTTGGCTATTGTAAATAGAGCTGCAAGAAACAGGAGTACAGGTATCCCTTTGACATGATGATTTCCATTCCTCTGGATAGATATGCAGCAGTGAAATAGATGGGTCATATGGTAGATCTATCTGTAATTTTTTGAGGAACCTCTGTACTATTTTCCATAAAAGCTGCACCACTTTGCAGTCCCACCAACAGTGTAGGAAGGTTTCCATTTTTCTCCACATCCACACCAGCATTTATCATTCTTAGTGTTTTGGATATTAGCCATCCTAACTGGAGTGAGATGGTATCTCAAAGTGGTTTCAATTTGCATTTCCTGAATGCTGAGTGATGCTGACCATTTTTTCATGTGTCTGTTGGCCATTCGTATATCTTCCTTTGAGGAATGCCTATTCGCTCCTTTGTCCATTTTTAAATTGAATTACTTTTTTTTTTGCTACAAAATTGCTTGAGTTCCTTATATATTCTGGATATTAATCCTTTGTCAGATATATATTTTACAAATATTTTCTCCCACTCTGTTGGTTGTCTTTTAACTCTGTTAATTGTTTCTCCTTTTTTCTTTTTTAAAAGATGACCAGTAAGGGGATCTTAACCATTGACTTGTTGTTGTTAGCACCACACTCTCTGAGGTGAGCTACCAGCCATCCCCATATAGGGATCCGAACCAATGACCTTGGTGTTATCAGCACCACACTCTCCCAAGTGAGCCACAGGCTGGCCCTTAATTGTTTCTTTTGCTGTGCAGAAGCTTTTTCGTTTGGTATAATCCCATTTGTTTATTTTTCCTTTAGTGGCCTGTGCTTTTGGGGTCATATTCATAAAGTCTGTACCCCATCCTACTTCCTGGAGTGTTTCCCCTGTTTCTTTTAAGGAGTTTTATTGTTTCAGGACATATATTTAATTCTTTAATCTATTTTGAGTTGATTTTGGTATATAGTGAGAGGTATGGGTCTAGTTTCATTCTCCTACATATGAATGTCCAATTTTCCCAGCACCATTTATTGAAGAGGCAGTCTCTTCCCCTATATGTAGGCTTGGTGCCTTTGTCAAAGATCAGATGACTGTAGGTGTATGGGTTGGTTTCTGGATTCTCTATTCTGTTCCATTGGTTCATGTGTCTGTTTTTATGCCAGTACTGTGCTGTTTTGGTTACTATAAGTTTGTAACATAGTTTAAACTCAGGTCATGCAGTGCCTCCAGCTTTATTTTATTTTATTTTTTGCTCAGGATTGTTTTGGCTATTTGTGGTCTTTTGTTATTCCATATAAATGTTAATATTTTTTTTTCCATTTCTGAAAAAAATGTCATTGGAATTTTGATGGGTATTGCATTGAATTGTAGATCACTTGGGGTTGTATGGACATTTTCACAATGTTAATTCTTCCAATCTAAGAGCGTGGGATATCTTTCCATATTCTTGCTTTCTCTTTAATTTATCTCAACAGTGGTTTGTATTTCTTGTCGTAGAGATTTTCACATCCTTAGTTAACTCTATTCCTATGTATTTTATTTTTCTGGTGACTATTGTTTGGCTAGCTTTCTTGATTTCTTTTCCTGCTAGTTCATTTTTGGAGTATAGAAATGATACTCATTTTGTGTGTTAATTTTGTATCCTGCAACTTTGCTTAAATCATGAATCAAATAACCTAAGAGGTTCTTTTTTCTGTAGTCTTTAAGCTCTTCTATATAGGATCATATCATCTGCAAACAAGGACCATTTGACTCTATCTTTTCCAATCTGAATGCACTTTATTTCCTTTTCTTCCCTGATTGCTCTGGCTAGTACTTCCAACACTATGTTGAATAGGAGTGGCAAAAGTGGGCATTCTTGTCTTGTTCCTGTTCTTAAGGGAAAAGCTTTCAACGTTTCCCCATTCAGGATGATATTAGCAGTAGGTTTGTCATATTATGTTGAGATACTTTCCCTCTATACCCAATTTATAGAGAGTCTGAGAAATATGGAACACTTCACAAATTTGCATGTCATTGTTGTGCAGGAGCCATGCTAATCTTCTCTGTATCATTTCACTTTTAGTATGTGGAATGACAAAGCGAGCATGGCTTTGACTTTTGATAGATTATTGCCTCCTCTTCTAGTCTGTTTTCTATTCATTCCTGATCTCTTTTTGGCCTCCTGTTCCTTTCCATATTACCTCACAGTCCCAACTTCTTGCCTGGAATTTTCTCCCCATTCTTCATATTCTCTCTTGAGATGATTATGTAACTGTTTACTTTGGTGACTTATTCCATTAGATAGTCTCTGGACAGGACGCTTTTCCTAATCTTTGCTTTCTAGGGCTTCTAAACTCATACTTGGGATCACTTTGCCTTTGAAAGCAATTTATGTCAATCATTCTCAATAGAATTTTGCATTTTTCTATATTTTCAGCTATTTTACCTGTAGGAATTTATACTAAGTGAAAATACTGTTTATCCTCAGGAAAATGACTTTTCTCTCCAGCTTAAGTTTACTAACCTAAAAAAGGAAAAGTTAGACTTTATGATCATTAAGTTGCCTTCTAGCTCTGAAGCTATTTGGCGGTTGTATTAGTCTTTTTTGTGTTATAACAGAATACCTGATATTGGGTATTTACAGATAAAAGAAGTTTATTTTGCTCATGATTCTGGGTCAGCTCCATCTGGCGTGGGCCCCAGGCCACTTCCACTCATGGAGGAAAGTGGCAGGGCAGCCAGAGGGTGTGAGAAGATCACATGGGTAAGAAGTGAGAGAGAAGAAGAGGAGGTGCCAGGCTTTTTTTAACAACCAGCTCTCACAGAAACTAACAGAGAACTCACTCACCCCTGGGGAAGGCATTAATGTACTCACATTCTACCATGTGATGCCCTGCTTTGCTGTGAGTAGTCACTACCCATCAACAAGGTGCTCACCAGATGTGTTCTCTGGACTTTGGACTTGCCAGCCAGTTAACTGTAAGCAAGAAATATTGTTTCTTTAGAAATTACCCAGTTCTGGGCCGGCCCGGTGGCGCACTGGATAGTGCGCCGCTTGGGAAGTGCGGTGGCGCTC